AATGCAATAAATTGAATATGCTAATAAATTAATTATATATATATATATGAAGTAAAGGATAAAAAATTAATAATATGTTTGTAATGTGCATATATATATAGTAGAATATAAAAAATGATCTGCCACTGAATTAAAGTACTCACAAATATAAAAAAAAAAATGATCATTTTATAAAAAAATGATCATTTTATTCGAAAGAATCAATGACGGACGATCATTTGTTGGTGCAAATTAGTGCTATTTTTTTTTACCTTGCATGCTTGTGTTGTGCGTCTCTGTGCTCTGTTTTGCGCATCTCTGTCTCTATCTCTAGACTCTTGAATTGAGTCTTTTTTTATGTTAATTAGAGTAGTTTTATTAATTTACTAATAAAGAAATAATATATACATATATATATATAATATAATGGGATTTATGGCTTATATCATCTATATATTTGTGTAATGGACCTTAGCTTGTCCTAGTCTACATAGTTTCAATCAATATATCTTTAGTTAATGAATTAATGGAGATAATAATAATTATATATACTTGATCTAATAATTAATATATTACACATATACATGGGTAAAAAAAAAATCAAAAGTTTGAGGAGGACTTTGGCCCCCTAGAATGAATGTAGGTCCGCCCCTGCCACTGGATTCGGGCCGGACTGGAGGGTTTGGGTTGGGATCGAGCTAAGGAACAAGGATGAAGTTGAACAAACTTTTGTCCTTTGGGCTTTTGTTCGTTTAATGACTAGTTTGATTTGATATCATTCTCATATATGTTCAGTTATTTGGAAAAATTCATGAAAATTTTCAAAAACGTGTAAATTCCAAACACGCCAGATTTCTTCCAACTTATGGAAACCGTCAAATGAAAAAGAATGATAGTCAAAAAAATAAATTAACTTTAAATAAAAAAGAAAATAAGTTACAAATTAGACAAAACAATTGAAAATAATAATAATAATAAAAAAAACTTCTTTCCGCTATGATAATGCACGAAAAATAAACAAACAAAACAAAAAGGGAAAAAAAATGAAAACAAGCATCTATGACAATAACACCACCGATGATTGATCTCTCACAGAAGCTAAAACAACATAAAAGGAAATATGATTTGCACAATACCACTAAGAAATCGAAGAAGGTCGAAAAAATAATAATAATAAATTCGATTTTATTTATATATTATTAATAAATGACATAGAAACATGGATTTTATTTATTTATTTATTTTTTGCAGCAATCATGAACAATGATCTTCTTTTGTACATTACAATGGTAAATCTAATTTAAAGTTAATAATATATATTTATAGAAACAAATAAACAAGATAGTAGATGTCCTAACAACAATATAACAATGGTCAAACAACATGAAGACACTTTCTACTAACACTAAAATATTGTGAGATTAAATTTTATAACAAATATGTAAGAATAGTGAATATAATTAAATGTTTTAAGCAATGTTCTGAAAACCGGACCGGTCATCGAATCGGTGAAGCTACCGGTTTAATGGTTCACTGGTCGGACCAGTGGTCAAACCGGTCGAACCGGTCTAATTAATATATAGTTTTATATTTATTTTAAATGTATAATATATAATTATATATATTTTTATCATTAATTTTATAGTGTATAGTTCAATAATAGATACAACCGACAATGTTGAATAATGTTGATAACTTATTTTAGTTTATTTTCTTATATTTTAATTTATATTTAAGTTAAAAAAATAAAGAATATGTTTTTATTCAATTTTTAAATAAGAATTTGAAAGCAAATCATTCATTGAAATTGGAGTTAATCCCTTATAACATGTCCCATAATTTTCAACAATAAAACTACAATCTAAAATATATTAAAATATTATGAACAATTAAAATTCAATCTAAAAAAAGTTGATCTAAATCACGATTTTTTTTTTCCAATTATTGGGCATTTGATTTAAAACAATTTTGCACTCCAAATTACATTTAGAGGCCCAAGTCCAAATTCAAAAACAAAGAAAGGTGAATTTAATAATTTATAGGCCCAACTCCCAAGCTCAATATAAAAACAAAAGGAGCAAATTCTAAGCTAGACTAGTTAGTAGGAATCACACATTGGAAAAAGAAAAAAGAAGACAATGCTATTTAATTGATAGCTTTTGTTACCACATGCAAGTAAGCAATCATCCGGAGCTAGCCGCTGGCCCGCCCAACTCGGCACCGGTTTTTCGGTTTTATCGATTTTTAACCGGTTTAGGTGGTTCATGACCGGTTTAAGTCATTCGCGGTTCCACAGCTCAACCCGGACCGGTGAGCTAGCCGGTTCCCGGTTCGACCAGTCTGGTCCAGTTTTCAGAACATTGGTTTTAAGTACTTATAAATAGTGAATATAATTAATTAAATTAATACCTATGTATTTAATCAAGTCAATTTCTATAATAATTTTTTGAATCGTGTTAATAAATTATTATTATATTAATATAAGATCTTATTAAAAATATATCTAATAAATTTATGATCAAATTTTAATTTAAGTTAATTTATAGTTAATTAAATGTTAAATATAGACGAAAAATTTTTCCGCCTAAAATTATGCCAATTATGATAATAAGGATTGGTCCATTATATAGATATAGATATAGATTTGTAGCATTTTAACGTTATCCCTACGTGAATTAATATTACAATCATCAATTATCAATTGAATTGAGATGTATTAAAAATTATTGTCGGCATAACATCTGACACAATACAATAATTTCATTATCATCCGAAAACATCTTCCTCAAACCCAACAGCCCGATTGTAGTTTTTCAAAAAAGATGACTGTGGCCCATGTAAAAAGAATCATAAATTTCAAAATCAGGAATTTTATCAACCCAAAAA